ACACCGCTATAAGCAGCGACTAGAAATTGTACCACTGTTTCGTAAAAGTGGGGTTGGGGTACAGTTATTGAAGGCAAGCTGCAGCATTATTTTTCATTTTTTTTTCTTTTTCAAAAGTCATTATACACGAATTCCTTATCAGCTATAATACAAATATAAATATACTACTTCTATTACAATTACTTCTTTAATATATATAAAATAATCAATTTCCATGTTAAATGAAGGGAAGAATACGCTGCTTGCTTTTGAAATGGGTTCCTCCGCAGCGTAGATTACTTTGGAACTACAATCCTTGCCAAAAGTCTTGGTACACCAAGCTAAAATTTCGCATAAATTCAGTAGCATCCCCCTCTCCCCCTTGAAACAATGTTGAATAACAACAGTTTCAAAGCTTGAAATTCGTCCAATGTCAGTTTATCAGCTAGGGTAAGTAATAGTCTTTTCAGCCAACATTGTTTTTGGGGGGAGGGGGGATATATCTGTATCTTACAGCCGGAAACCTTTATTTCTTCAAAATCTTTCATTGGTCACAGGGTGTTCCAAGGACTTTTGTCAAGGATTGTCTGACAAATATTTTTGAAGCAGTGCATTTGAGATCAAGCAATTAGTTCCAATCTGAGGTTTTCCATGCCGCTGATTTCAGTGGTGGTGTTTTTTTTTCAATATCTAGTCCACTTCATAACATAATTGTCTATCTACTCTAAAAATATTGGTTTCATACGTAAAATAAAGCAAAATTAGAAATTATTTGTATTCTGAAAATTTGTTGCATCTACCTAAAGAAGGGAGGTCACTTTTGAAACCGAGGCCAATTTGGTTGACGGTTGAGGGAGTAAAAGTTGAAATTCTTTAATTATGATTACATATGTCTTCAGATAGTCAAAATGGCTAACTCCAGTAGCAACGCAGATCCTCAAAAAATTGGGGGCAGAGACGTAAGAAAAGTTTATCTGATAACATACAGTAGCGCTAACACTGAAGTTTATGATAGAGAAAAATTCTCTGATATGATCGTGAAATGTTTTGAGGCAGTAACGACAGCAAAAATTTCCCAATGGGCATGTTGCATGGAGCAGCACAAAGTAAACGGCTACCATTTCCACATGTGCATTTTGTTGGACAAATTACAGAGATGGCTAAAAGTGAAAAATTATGTCCAACAAAAGTATGGTATTGTCATTAATTTTTCTGGTCACACAGGCTATCATACAGCATTCAATTATGTTGTCAAGGAGGATAGTAGTTTCATTACCAGCAGCAATCACCCTGAAACTGTTTCTTCTCCAAAAACGAGCAAGGCAACAAGGAAAAAAGCTGCAAAAAACCCTTCAAAGGAAAAGAAGCTGAAGTCAAAGCGTCTTTCAAACTTTGATGTCGCCAATATTATAGTTGAAAATAAGCTGCGATCGCGTTTAGATGTTCTTGTTCGGGCTAAGTCCAGTTTTGAAAAGGGTGACAGAAGGTTGTACGAGTTTGTCCTGAACAGAGGCGATAAAAAGCTGAATGATCTTCTGGACACCGTATGGGAGTTGGAGACTGCCAAGGAGAAGCAAGAAAGGGCTTCTATGTCTAGAATAGACATCCTTAAGGAGCAGCTTAGCGTTGGGTGCACCTGTGAAGGCCAGTGGCTCGAGTGTGCTCTCCAAATCCTTCACAAAAATTGCATCGATAGGTCTGTGTTTGCAAATGCCATTGTCAAACTGCTTGTTATGGGTCGTGGCAAGGGCCGTAATATTTACATTACTGGCCCCGCCAACTGTGGCAAGACTTTCATCTTAGACCCCCTTAGAGTGGTGTACGATAGCTTTCTGTCCCCAGCTACTTGCTCGTATGCATGGCTTGGAGTTGAGAACAAGGAGGTTATATTCCTCAACGATTTTCGTTGGTCTCCCGTTATGCTTCCTTGGGCTGACATGCTGCTGTTGCTTGAAGGCCATGTGGTACATTTTGCTGCACCCAAAACCAACTACAGCAAGGACATCGAATTCACGAGGGACACTCCAGTGTTTGCTACTGCCAAGGCCCCCATCTCCTTTATCAAAGGCTCGGTAATGGATGATCGTGAAACAGAAATGATGTCTGTTCGCTGGCGCATATTTACGTTCAGGCATCAGTTTTCTTTGGAAGAGCAGAAGACAGTCTCCCCATGTGGCCATTGTTTTGCAAAAATGCTCTTGGAATAACAATGATTTCCAGACGCTCCTTCCTAGAGAAGCTGCCCCGTACAAAGCGAAATGGTACTCGGGCAGCCAAACGACAACGGTTTACCATTGCATTTCCCCCTTGAATTTCTTGTTTATATGACAGTTTTAAAATAATTCCCCGAAAAAAGTGGTACACTATGATGTACATTCTAAAGACAAAAAAAAACCATTCTCGCGTTTGCCTATTCGAGTGTAATTGAAAGAAATCACCACGGTTTACCATTTTCCATCTAAGAACAGGAACAGTTAAGATTCATTTTTTTCAAAAATGGTAAACCGTGAACATTTTTGGCTAAATCTCAAAATTTATCAATCCAGTTTCGTAGAAACTTATCAGCCTTGTGGTACATTGTAATGTACCTCCTTTGCGGAAACTACCGAAATATACCTGCAACCTGTTATTTTTTATAAGCTTTTTTAAAATGGTAAACCGTGATGGTAAACCGTGGCCAAGAGCATTTTTCCAATCCAATTCAACTCTATCACTTTTTATTACGTAAGCAATGGACGTTATCCAGAACTTTGAACAACAATACTAATTAGTCAGTTATAAAGGGCTTTTTGAAAATTTTTGCTGATAAACAATAAGCAATAAATTCAGATGAACTGCTAGTATGAGTATTTTAAAATAATCTTCAAACACGCAGCTTACGGAGGAGCTGCCAAACACTACAGAGAAACAAATCCATAGAGAACAAAAGCAATTTCAAAGCTGCAGTTCAAATTTTATGATACATAAGTTAGAAACTTTCATACAAAAAAACACTTTTAAGTTTTTTTGAATTAGTATTTAGTTCTATATCCATCATTTATGGCTAGAGTGCTCAAACGATCATGCATGCTTCGAATAGTTCTATCTATAACAGTTACATCAAAGTCACTAAATGCCTGCAAAACTCTCCCTTTAAAAGTCTGAAAGTCCTCTTTCACGATTTTTCCTCTCAACGCCTCCTGTCGCAAATTACATTTTATAATATTAAATAAATTTTCAATAGGATTCAAGTCCGGTGATCTTGCTGGTATCTCAACAAGTTCAGCACCCACTTCTTCTAAAGCATCGCTTGCCAATTTGCTCCTTTGACTGGGGTCATTGTCCATAACGAATAACAGTTTTTCCTTCTTTTTCATCGCTGCACATTCTCTGAGAGTGCTGTCCAATGTCTCATGCACAAATTTTGCGAACCACCGGGCGTTCATCTTCTCGTACTCCTCCGCAACAACAACCCCTGCCGAATAGGAAACACCAACCAACAAATGTAGTGTACGCCCTCCAGGCAAGTTCTTCGATCCTTTACTTGTAAACACAAGGCCCTCTTTTTTGTTCTCCACACTCGTCCCCTTGGGCACAAAGCGTCGTTATACGGATTTTGTTTGTGATGGAATGAAACTCCGTCCAGATACATCAAAACATCGTCCGTCCGTCTGTCAAAAATTTCTGTCATGTTTCTTTAAAGCATCCCTGGCATATGATACTCTCTTCCTCCTATCCTTAGCTGACAGTATACCCTTCTTTCTAGGATTCAGAAACCTATATCCAGCATCATGCAGAGCTCTTACCAAAGTCCTGTAGCTAACATGTGTGATCTGGCATTCCTTTGCTACATCCATCACTCTGACGTTTCCATTTGTTTCTCGCATCTTCTTGAAAGTCCTAAGAAACCTTGCCTTGTCTCTTTGCTCATCAGTGGTGGTCTACCTGTCCTCTTATTCTCTTGTTTAGTTGAAGGCCCCTCCTTACAAATACGGACCACACTTGAAACAGAAATCTTGCAATGTTCCGCTATTTTTCGAAACGACAAAGACCTTCCCTTTCGCAAGTAGCAAGCCAACGCTCTCTCTCTGTCGCTAATTTTGCTATGAAACACCATGTTTGTTAAAGAGCAACTCAACAACTGCTTTTGATACTATAGTCAATTTCGTTTTATTTCTTAGCTTATCGTTTAATTATACAACACCGACACAGTGAGAAACAGGAAGGTTTCCGCCATTGACATTCCAAAAATTCTATCTTGGAGACATTTTCACACGTACATGTGCTTTGAACAGCAATTGCAATACTTAATTTTCCTGTTTTTCATCTTTTGTTTTTTCCCTTGCAAGTCTGGTGAATTTTCAATATCTAATTTCGAAAAAAACAGAGCAGAATTTGAAGAATTCAAGTAAACAAGTGAATAATAATCATAATATCTCTAAAATTCGAAAAATAGCTAAATTAGGCCAATTCCATTTTAAATATCAAATTTTTTCGACGCCAATGAAATCAGCGCTACCAAGAACCCCTACCCCCATAACATTGATTTTCATGCAACTAACGGTTTAAAAAAAAGCGCTCAGACTGTCTGACAAATATTTTTGAAGCAGTGCATTGAAGATCAAGCAATTAGTTCCAATCTTGAAGATTTTCCATGCCGCTGATTTTCAAGTGGTGGATTTTTTTTTCAATATCTAGTCCACTTCATAACATAATTGTCTATCTACTCTAAAAATATTGGTTTTCATACGTAAAATAAAGCAAAATTAGAAATTATTTGTATTTCTGAAAATTTGTTGCATCTACTAAAG